CTGCCCTCAGCCCTACTGCCGCCGCCGGTTTCCTCTACTTCCCCCTCTCTTTTATTTTCCTTTCTTTTCTTGTTTAAATTACTTTAAAGCTTTATTTTTATACGAATTTCTTTATGATTTATAATTATCATGGCTTGATTATGTTATGAGTTATAAAATATTGTAACTTTATGGATTATACTTTATTCGAATTATGGGATTAAATTTCAGATTTAATTTATGCGTTAATTGGGGTTTTAAATGTTGATTTTCATGATTTTAGGGTTCAATAACGTGTTGCTAAAGTTATTTAATTTTAGCATAATTTTGTTATGATTTTTGCTATGACTATGATGATTTTAATTCAACAACAAGTTCTTAATTTTTCGTAGCTAATTTTTTTTAATTTCCGTTCGTAAAATTTCTTAATCACGTTTTAATCGCATTTTGACTGTAACTCGTCTGATTTTCGCAAAAAAATAGTGTTTTTCGTGTGTAAATGACGTTTTACTCATAATTCACTACCTTGGGTAGTGAGTACCACCTTCGCGTGGCCAAATTCAGCTTCTAAGTATGGTTTTTGTGCAGTTTTTTTATTTTTATCGAAGGTTTAACTGAGTTTTTATGAAACTAATTAAATTATAATAATATATTTCAAGTTTAGATTGTTGTATTCATACACTTTATTATTAAATTAAATTTTCAGATTTTAATCTTAACTTTAAATAGCTTTAAGTCATGGTTTTATGATGGGTTTTCAAGTTCTCAATATACTAACGTACTATATGATGATTGTTTCAAGTGAAAATGTTTGCGAGATTGTTTTACATGCTTAAAACGAATTTTCAGATTTATTACATTACTTTAAAGTTGCTGAAATTTTTGCTATAAGCCATATTTTTGTGATTTAAGCATATAAACTCATAGTTCAAGTACTAAATTATTAACTTTGGCTATTGGGAATAATTTAAGAGCATTATTTCAATGATTTAAAGGATTTTAAAGTAGTTGGTATTGCTGTAAAATATATTGCTTGGGTGATTGATTGAACTACTGTTGTTTTGTTTAGGAGAGGACTTCGTAGAAGAGGACTTCGTAGAAGGTGACTTCTAGCCTTAAGGTGGCCAATCAATTTGTTTACTCAAGGTACGTACAAGAATACGAGGAACCTTGATTTTAGGAGCATGTTTAGGGACTTGGAAAAACCTAGAATCATGCTAGGGAACTGGTGGATTGGTTGGAATTGTTTGGTAATGAGTTGTTTGATAATGAATGTGATGGTTAGTTTAATTCATGCTTGAGAATGTGCATTGATTTTTCCTTATGAGCAGTATTTATGCAATAATGTTCAAAGTGAGCTTAGAGGCAAAGATATAATGAATTATTTTGATTACTTGTTCGTTTATATTGAAATGGAATGAGTAAAGGAAGAATTAAAGTCTTATAAGACAAAGTTGAGAATTTGTGGTGCCTTATGCACTTAAGGTGTTTATACACCGAGGTAGTTAAAGGATGCAATAATAAATGATGTTTGTCACTGATAAATTGAGAATTTAATTGGAAACTTGAATGATTTGACTGATTGATGTATGATTGGTTGAGTTGTTTGCATATGAGTCATCACCAAATTTTAAAATGGTAAATCACGTAAAGTGCAAGAAGGATGAGCAATAAAACTCTGGATTTGTGCACATCTAGAGTAATGACAAACATGGGTTGGGGTTCACGGGGTATTAGCCGTGCACTTTTCAGCGTCTGATCTACGAGTCTCTTGTTTTAAATTCTTTTAAAATTAATGAGTTAGATGAGATCTCATACTAGCTATGGCCACGGAGTCGCGCCCGTCTGCCATTGGATGTTTATTAATGTCTTCCGAAAGGAGGCATAAGGTTTTCTTATTTATTGTTCCGGAATGGAGCACAGGGGGACAACCCGGTCTATTGCTTAATCCAATCAATTAATGAATTGATCAATGTTATTTAAATAAAAACTTAGTAATGAGTAACTATGGAGTCATGTGTTCGAGTCAATGATAATATTGTGAGCGTATGGAATGTTTGTTAGTATCATGCTAGAACTCTTTACTATATTTCGTAACTTGTATGTACTCAGCGTTGCTGATTGCATGCTTTTGTGTGTTTTTCTTTGGTCATGGCCTTCGCCTTCAATGACCCTGTAATGATCTATTTATTACACTTGTGATATTGGGGAGCAGATTCATCACAGGTTTTTGCATAAACTGTCTTGCATCAGGGTGATGGGATTTGAGTGGAGAGTTGGTTAACCATTTAGCTTATTTCATAACACAGATTGAATTTTATTTTGGTGTTGGTTCCATTACTTCCTATTTTACTGGATTTTGAATAAGGGTCGTTATGGTTCCAACTTGTAAGACTTTGAGTTTTGACTTCCAGTTTTGAAACTTATATTCTTTTTAAAACCAAGTTAGTTTTCCGCTGCTGATTTCTGAAACTAGCCTTAACGTTTGAACGCGTGGCGGTAGCACTCCAATAATTCTCTTACAGGTTTTACAGGTCTTACAGGTTATACAGGTTTTACAGGTTATACAGGTTATCACAGGCTTTTACAGGTTTTCTTTTAGAGAGAATTATTGGGGTGTTACACAGGGGAACCCCAAGGTTACCTCAATAGTCACTCAACCAACCTAGTGCGGAACCTAAAAGGTATGAGGAGTCCGCCTGTTTTTTGGCAAACAGAGGTACTCAACCACTATTCTTACTAGGTTGGCTATACTTAAAGCTGCTGCCTGTAACCCAACAGGCGTAGCTACTTTGGTTGGACGTCCCGTCTGACGCCTGCTTCTATGCAGCCACCATAGCAGACGACCAACCATCACCCTACAAAATAAACTAAGTACCAAACTTAGAATATTGCATTTCATATTAAGAACGAACCAAAAGAGGCTAACGACCAGATAATATTGAATGCTCACCCCCTATTCAATAGTTGACAATACACCTGATCAGGGGCTATCTGCATAGTGGGGCTAAGAATTGGCATCTGTCTAGTTCGGCGGCAATCATTATTATGATTGATTAACTTTGAAAATGTCATACCGCCCAAGGTATCAAAATTTTCTAAGTTAATCAAGTCCATCTCCCATTAGAACTAGACAAGATGCCGACCTAGCGGGCTTCGAGGGTCTAACTTTCGAAAGGAACAATCCCTCCTAGAAAGAGATTAGGGTAAAAATACCCATGACAAATGGACCTATCCAGACCTGCCACGTGTCCGCCACGAGGACCAATCAGCGTCCGCCACTTGTCACTCTGAGGTCCAATATGGACAAATCAGGTCACGCCATGTGGCCCAAAACCAGCCAACCTGGAAAACGGCCAACAAGGCCCGACTCCCGAGGCAAGCCCAATAAGCCCTAGGTTTTGCTAGAAAACCTAGTATTGGGCACGTACTTCGAGGCTATAAATACAGGTTATTAGCCATCATTAAACACAGTCATAATTAATTAATCATCTCACCAAGAGAAGCCTAAACACACGTGCATTCTGACTGCTAGACCAGACTTAGCAATTAATTGCACACCTTGATCACTCCTCCCCCTAGAGGAACCAGATCACCTTTACTTTTCCGCACTTTTTACTCCACATACAAGTACTAATTTGATCGTTGGAGGCGGAGCTCCCACCACCCGGAGTCTCCGTTGTTTTGCAGGTACAGGCGCAAGAATCCCAGTCCTGGAATTGTAACTCTCCCGCAGGACATAAAAAAACCCCGTAACACCTATAATTTTATTATTCTCCCATACGTTGCAAGCACATGCTATGCTAGCAAAAATTCTTCATTTTATTAATTTTGCAGTCAATGGTTCGCGTGTCACAACAACCGTGAAAAACACCCATTAAACAACTACTTATTCTCTATACATTCGGGGAGGAAAAAAAAAACCTAAACTCTCTCCAAACCATCTCGGAGACCCCCTTCTCACCAACTACACTTCAATTCGTACATTGACCAAGATCGATTTGCGTTATTATATCCAAGATCGGTCTCTCGTTCCGGACGCCCGTCTTGCGGGGGCGTGTAAAGGATAATGATATTAGCAATATCATTATCTCTTGATTTACTCCGTGATTTACACAATTAGGTTGATTGTCAAAATTTACCTAACTATTGTCTAATGTACCTAGACATATACTCTAATGTATCTAGTCATAGTCTAATGTTTACTTATGTACTATAAATACTCTTGTATAATCATCAATATAATCAAGCTTTCCAACATTTTCTTTCTCATAACTCTATCACAATGCACTTAAGCCATAATTCAGGATGTTGCCAATTTTACTTATGATTTATGGTACATAAAATATAAGGTTGAAATTTAAAATTTCACAGAAAATAGCCCTGATACGTATAAGCATCTTACACTACGTACTGTGGATGTACTAAGACTTCACCTCCTTTATCAGTATGGAAAAGGCGAAAAGCTAAATCATGGGGAATAATGACATCACCTAAGCATGACTCAAAGACAGTTAGTTAAAGTATTAAAAAGCACACACAAAACGGTTGCTTGAATCACTGATCTTTCCTTTCCGTAAAATAACTAGAGTACTTAATTCTGTACATTTTCATTTATGGCGCCACCATACACTTCTGTCTTCTTCCAAATTCTTTTCCGTTTTTAGCAACTTGCAATTGGCATCTCCTCTCTCTCTCTATTACCTGCCACCCCACCCAATCTTATCCAATCACATCCTCTCTCTCCGCAATCAATGCATATACTAATATATAATAAAGATTTCATTTATATACTTTCTCCGTTTTTTTTATTGCATCATAGGAGATTTCACGCTTGTCAACGCATTACTTTAGCTATTAATATCTTTAATTATGCCTTTGTAAAAATTATAAAAAATTGATATTTGGAAAGTAGATTTTGAGATGAATCTAACTGGATCCCATATGAATATGTTTTTCTTTACGAATAAATCACAAAAGATGGTCAAAGAAGATTATGTGAATAGTGTAAAAGTCAAAGTGCTGCGATAAAAAAAGAACGGAGGAAGTATGTTTTATTTTATTTTATTTTTTTTCTTTTTTTTTAAATATTGTCTGTAAATCTGATGAATATTTTAATAGGGGATGTCCATTGTTTCTTGATATACTCAACCCCTTTTCTTCTTACCAGTTTGGCTTTCTCATTTCATACTCTATTATTCATTTTTGGGTTATTTTGAGTTACCCAAATAATTCAGATTCATCCCCTCAATCTTTGGAGACTTTTTGCCCCCTTTTTTGGATTGAAAAAGTATCTATTTTTCTGGGTTTTTCTTCAAATTTAGCAGATTTATGGAGGGCTTTTCTAATGAACGCTTCGATTTTGGGAGGATGGGTTATGGGTATTCTTCCTTTTTAAGGCTTTGTCTTATGCTTTTGTTGTTATTAACTTATTATGGTTTTAATTTGCTTTGTTTTCCCATTTTTTCCAGATGTCAGCATTACAGAAGAAGGTGTTTGATTCGAGCTCCGTGTTGCAACGAGATCTTTCCTTGTCGCCATTGCCACAACGAAGCCACGGTAATATATTTATGTACCGTTTTTTTTTTATTTACCATTTTCTTCTAGTTTTAGTGTTTACCGTATGCTTTTTGGAAAGAAATAATTTCTAAATTAATTCGGGTTAAGATTTAGCCAATGTACTTCTTCTGTTGTTTTTAATTTGTAATGTTGTGAGTTTCACGCTTGTTATTGCACATATTATGTGATTAATATCTTACAAATGTAATTATATCTTGATTAACTAAAGTTTTAAAACGTATAAGTCAAAAGGCAGTAACTGATGTGTTCAAATAGTTGAAAATTCCAAACATTGCAATTAGAAAAGAAAGGAGAAATTATAGTTCCGGTACAATTCTGGTTTTGTTGGCAATTCGGACCTGTATATTTGGTACGGGTCAGTTCTACCTACTAACAAGTAATTCTAGTATAGTTTAACTTAATCTTAATTCATGGGTTTAACCTTGGGAATTTTTCTGTTTCTCATTCTTCCGGTCTGATGATTAAAGGGGCAATTGAGTATGAAGTTTGAATTTGTGGGATTTGTTCATTATGTTGCTCATTTTTACCTGATTGTGGAAATGCCTCTTAGAACATGTTACGCAACCCAATGGACCGGCACGAACTCGATCGACACGATGTTAAGCAAGTATGTTGATCCTGTGAGCTTTTTTCTATTTTTTATTGTGTATTTTAGTACCTGTTTTGCATTATTGATTTGCTTTCATGTTCTCATTACAGGTTGTTTGTGCTGTATGCGACACTGAACAACCAGTAAGTAGTGATGGCGACAAGGAAAGATCAGTTTGGTTACTTCTTTCATGTTCTGTAACTGTATTTGGTAGCAAAAATGTAGTGACTAATGTTTGGTTACCTGTAAAATTCAGGTGGCACATGTTTGCACGAATTGCGGTGTTAATATGGGGGAGTACTTTTGTGAGATTTGCAAGTTCTATGACGATGATGTAAAATTTCTGGAGCCTTTAGTACAATATAACGGTTCATTCTTGCTTTTTTAGGATTCGTGTATTTTGTTTTTCATAACTTCTTGACTGTATTAATTGATCAGTGTATAATATGAAGCTAGCTGAAATAGTAAACTGGTTGTTAGATTATTCTACTTAATGACTAAGAATATCAACTAGAAAATCTGTGAAAAATTGTGCTGTTTAACTCTGGAAATTTGCATTCCCTGGATCAGCTGAGGCTCTCATTTAATGGTAGTTGTTTGATACTTACAGGTTGATAAAATGCAGTTTCACTGTGATGATTGCGGGATTTGCAGGTACATTGGCAACTGCATATGAATGTCGATATTTGTTATTTTATCACTAGTTTTTTATCCACAATTGGTCGTTTGTGATCAAAGCTTTTTAAAATATTGATTTAAAAGAGTTTTTGAAGTGCATAGTCAGCATCTGAGCAATGCTAAAGGCAAGTTAAAATTTTCAGATAGATACATTTTCGGATACCTATGTTGGTTCTGTGTATCAAATATTGAATTTGTCTGGATTAAATATTTTTTGCACTGCAACTTAATGTAATTAAATTTTTTTGAACCAGGGTTGGTGGCCGTGAAAACTTCTTCCACTGCAAGAAGTGTGGTATTCTTTATTCCTTCTCTTATGATTGAGATCATGTGAGAACCTAAGGCTAAAATGTGAACAAAGAACCAATCTAGACCCTTAGGTGATCGTAAGCGGATGGTCAAGATGTTACCCGAGCTCATGAATGACATTTTTGTAATTACGTAACTTTTCAAACTGATTCCAGTTTATTCACTTTTAACGCAATTTCATTTACTTTTTTGACATATTTTATTTACTTTAACGAATTTTTATACGAATTTTTCATTTACTTTTTATAAATAAAATTGGAAACCAATTTGTAAAGTCAAAAAAATTACGAAAATGTCATTAATGAACGGGAAGTGTGTGAGTCGTCCGGTTAAGATATTTATGGGTCCAGATTAGTTCCTAGTTCTCATTTTAGACTTGGTTCTTGTTTTGGACTTTTAGTACTTTCTATAGCTAGGAATTTTATTGCTTCTTTTGCTGCTTGTATAAGCATTTTTCTGAAATAGTCTTTAAATTTATTGAACATCATTCTAGGATCTTGCTATTCTGTAGCGTTACGTGATAATCATTTGTGTATCGAGAACTCCATGCGTCATCACTGTCCCATATGTTATGAGGTTTGTTGATCACTCTTTTTTATTATTCTGCCAATGATCTGCTAGCCTTTAGATGTCACGAACAGTAATGGATCTTACTTTGGTTTCTTGTCTACATTAGTATCTTTTTGACTCGCTTAAAAATACAACTGTCTTGACTTGTGGGCATACTATGCATTCTGATTGCTGTCAAGAGATGCTGAAGCGCGATAAGTAAGCATTCTTGCACCCTTGGAAAAGCTGATTTGTTGGGTGTTCTTGTCCTAGGAAAGGTCTTATGTTTCTTAAATGTTGCAGGTATTGCTGCCCTATATGCTCAAAATCAGTTATTGACATGTCTAGAACCTGGAAGAGATTAGATGAGGAGGTAAGCATGCTTAATCCTTGATTATGCAGTAAAATAGATCACTGACATTGACACCATGAACTATATTCTGTTTCGACCTCCCTGCAGATGTTACTTCCATTTTTCAGAATGGAATCTGTGTTAGGTAGCTAAGAAAAATCCTCTAGAAAGACTACAAAGGGATCCAGTAGAAGGAACTATATGGCGAAACCATATTATGCCCTCCATCATCTTATGTTTTTCTCACATTTCTTCTATGGTTGTTTTGATAACACTACTACAAAGTATCATTTAGTTATAATAAACTCTATTCTCACCATATATTGCATCGACTTTTACTTTCACTCTTTCCCCATACTTCTTTTTTTCTCTGTCCAGTATCCACTCATATATCCTGAATATAATAACTGTTCTTGGTCTCCATGCCCAACCCTAATGTATTAAATCAGTTGTTACTTAAGGAAGGGCTTAAACATGTCTTTGTGGAAGTATGGTTATCATGAGAATTTGAATTGCGTAGTATGCTGTCGTTGAATTTTGTTCTATGTATTGTTAGTAAGCCAATTAGAAAATCGTGAGTTACTCAGAAGGCAAACCATGACAGTTTCCATTTATATTTGATGAAATTCAGCAGTTTAAATATCATATACTTGTATACAAAATGAGTAAAATATCAAGAGCAATTTTGTATAACCGAATGTTCCTGCAGGCCTGAGTCCAGGTGAAGTGATTGATACATTTGAATATGCACAAAACTCAATCTTATTAGTCGATTAATAAGCTCCTTGTTAGGGGCTGACAAAATTTGTCTATTTAATCTTTGCTTTTATGATTTTTAGTCTTGATAATTGTTCTTTGCACACCCAGATTGAAGCCACCACCATGCCGGAGGAGTACCGCAGCAAGAAGGTATTGCTACCCCATCTTTTTTGATGTATTTCCATGCATTGAATGATTCTTCGACCAAAATCAAGAATGGTGAATGAGTGATAATATGTCCTTTCATCAAATTACTTGTTTCAAAAAGAATTCCTGTTATACTTTGCAAATCACTCAGCTATCTTATTTTTCTTTAATCCACAATTTCTAACAATTTAATTGTGATTGTTTTTCAACATTTAGTTTGGAGCTCTGTACCGATCCACCTGTTTTCATGCTATTATCACCTGGAATGAGTGTGTCATGGCCAAAAATTCTCACCTTAACTTTGCGAAAGTAAATTAACAGGCGATGTAATTTTGAGAACTAACTCGAGTTTAAAAGAAGGGGATTCTTGTATAAAAATTTAATATCTTATAGATGGTGATCAAGAAACTTCTTTCTGCAGGTTTGGATTCTATGCAACGACTGCAATGATACAACAGAGGTTTATTTCCATATACTAGGCCAGAAATGTAGCCACTGCAAGTCTTATAACACCTGTCAAATTGCGCCTCCAGTCCTTCCTTAGAATCGTTGAACGTATGAAACAGACAGAGGCTTGCGTTTTTCCTTGGCTGCTTTTAGTATGGATGATACTCATTTTCCCTTTCTTTCTTCTGTGCTTCAATCATTGTGCAAGCTAAGTTAAATCACTGATTTGCACCATTCATCATGATTTGGACTAATATCATTTTATGTTATGGCAGAAGCAATTCTCAACTTATTTTTTCAACCTGTAAATGAATTCAAAGGTAGACATACATATAATGATGTAAACATCTGTTAATGCTTATTGTTCACTACTTCCTCTTCTTACACAAGGGCCAAGGCCGTCACCTTTAATAGAAGAAAAATTCTGAACTTTGATGCAAAGTATAATTTTGGGAGGCTTCATTATTTCCATCTTCCTTATATATATCTTATTTGCTCCTACATGATTTATCTTCATTTTTTTTTACACTGAAAATTGAACTGTGTAGCAATTGTTTAAATTTTTTTCCCCTCCTTAAAACTATTGTTTAGTTGCATTGAACTTAATAACCTTTATTTGAACTTGTTCTTTGTTAGGCCATGTTTGATTTTCATTTCCAGATATTTGTTTTTAAAATTATAAAATTAAAAGTTCTCAAGACCGAGCGGCCTAATTTTAAGATATTTTCTGAAATCTTCATGTAAACAATTTTTATCTCAAAATAGATGCTAATAGGACTTTGCATGCCGAGTTAATCAAGCTTTGTCATGGTTACCTTGGTTTGATTTTATTTTACAGCAGCCTTGGGCTACCATGTTTTAAGCATGGTATAATAAAGAATAATTTTGAGTTTACCTTTAAACTTTATTTGATAAAGTGTGTTCTAACCTTAAGCACTATAGTCCCCCCACCCCCTCGAAATTATTGATGCTATTGCTAACTTGCTAGTTAACTTTATAATAGTATTTTGCTTTGACAATTGTTAAAAATCCCCCTAATCTAATCATTTAGGTATTGGTTAGCTTAAGGAAAGGTATTCGCATTGCATCCAAAGTCTGATTTAATCCGATCTAAATTAATAATTCGAATACTTTTTAAATCGAATTGGTTGAATTCAATATTTTTTAAAAGAAAATTGAGATTTTTGGATCAGATTGCATACAAAGTTAGTCATATTGCATCAAAAGTCAAATCATCCAAATCTAAATTAGTGATTGGAATTAAATTACTTCATAAATCACATTGGATTGGACTCAACTTATTTTTCCATAATTGAGATTTCGAATCGAATTAGATTGAAGATATTTGGATCCGAAAAAACTGAAATACTCAAAATTTTATTAATAACTAGGTTAGCTTCCTCGCTATGCAAGGTAATTTCATTACATCTAACTAAATTTTATTTATTTATTTTTTTAATATAAGAATGAAAGAGACAAAATACAAGTATGACATATTTATTTTCTTTTTATTTTGTATATATAATAAAATAGTCGACCCCGATTAAACAAATTAGTATATTAACAACACCCTCTTAAATTCCTAGACCACATCAGTGTTTAAAAAATTTAATGTAAATTGGTATTATTTTTCATTTTATAAACCAAATAACTATTGTAAAATTATTTATTACACCCAAAGGGAAGGAATATAACCCCGGTATAATGATATCTATGTTTTTCGTATAGCTTTCGGCAAGAAACAAATTAAAACATTGTAAATAATAAAAATTACCGTTTTATAATTAAAAAAAAATTCTAATTCAAATACACGGAATATATAAATTGCACCATAACATAAATTATTGTGAACTTAATAAATTTGGTGATAGTGGAAAATATAAGAAAATAATATGCACATAAATAGTTGAAAATTAAAAGGTAGAATAATGTTATTTTTTTTTTCCTAAAAATATGCTATTTGTATGAAGATTCCTAATAAGAAAACATTTTGAAATTTCTTAATGAAAAATAGTGGAAGAACATAAATAAATGAAATTTATGTATAGTACGAATCTATTATTTAATAGATTCATCATTTTTTTTTTTTTTTTTTTTTTTTTTTTGATATTGTTACAAAATTATGTTATTTATAGTTTGTTAATAAATTAAAAGAATAAAACATGATGTATTGTCCTATTAAAAGATATGACACTGGAGTAATATTTACAACACCAACTTTTATATGTGGCTAGCAACACCGTGTTGCCAGTTGCCATGGGAATATGGGATTACTCAGCTCGGTTAGTGTTATAATGGTTACTCTGTTAGGGGTATATAAGTCATTTATTTAGTAATATATAAGGGTTACTCTGTCAATGTTATAGGATTACTTTGTTATTTTATTTTGTCATTATAATAGGGGCTACTCTAATCTGTCAGTGATATAGGAGTTACTTCTTTTTTTTTAATTTTTATTTAATTTTTTTTATAAACTAACTGTGGCTAGCCGCATAGAATACACACTGTATTTATTATATTTGAAGTAATAGATATGATATTTATTTTATTACATATATTAAAAGTAAATTATATGATTGGTGAATATTTTGTGTATAATATATGCTAAACAGTTGATGGCATGAGCAAAAAAAAAAAAGGTGGGGGTTTAAAATAAAATAAAAAGGCGCACCTGATGAGTGTCATTTATGGCACTCATAGGGTAGTTTTCTTCGTAGTTTTATGCTCGTTTTTAGCCTCTTATGTCGTGTTTTTATGAAATAATGTTTGTTTTGCGTGCTTGTGTGTTAGTTTAGAGAAATGCATGTTTCCAATGGATTTATTATCCTTTTTATGCATTTCTTTGCTATTCTCTCGCTTTCCGTTTTGTTTGGCTTGTTTTGTAGGTATGTCGGGACTTTTCGAGGCTCAAATATCAAGGAGGAAGCCCAACACAAGATTTGGAAGTCAACAAAACCAAGTCCGGGAAGCTAGAGTGAAAGCAAGCTAAGCTAGAAGTCAAAGTAATGTTGCTTGGGCAGGATTTTACGCGTGCCCAAGCATTGAAGAATAATTCAAGAGCTTTAAAAGAAGAAAAGTGTCTGTATTGGGCAGACAATGTTTACTCGGGCAAGCTACCCCTCCTGCCCGAACAAGTCCTCGCACAGCCCCTCGCATATGGCCCCTAGCAGCTGCTCGCAAAAGGCTTCGCGCCATGCTTCGCACAAGCCCCGCACAAGCAGCAGCTCGGGCAGGGCACGCAAGGCTGCTCGGCCAAGTTGCCTGAGCCAAAACTGGGTTTGCTCGGCCAGAGCAACTTGCTCGCCCGAGCTAAGCAGTTTGCCTGAGCTGCTTTGTTATGCTATTTTACCCGATTTTTACTCTTTTTCTCTTGTAACTATAAATATGTACGGACTTTCTATTTTTGGTTTAGACTTTATTTTAGAAATTTTTAGAGAGAGTTTAGTTAGGCTAATTAGAGAAAGAAACTATAGATTGTAATTTTTTATTTCAATTTCAAGATAATTCAAATTCAAATTCCTTTGATCATCAAGTTTGTGAGAATTTCTTCCCTTCTTATTTTCATTTCCTTGCTATAATTTTGTTGATTAATGCAATTTCAAGTTAATTTGATTGTTTGGTTTAGGTTACTTTGATTGATTTAGTTTTGATTTCAATTACAATTATGATGATGTTGATGAGGATTAGTTTAGTTTTCTTCCTTCAATTTAATATGCTTAGTGAATAGATTTCTTAGCTAGGGTGAAGGGGAAGCATGCATGATCGATAGATAGTTGTTAATTTGGGGATTTTGATTAATTTATTGGTGTGATTAAATTGATTGATGTATTTGTGCATGTGTTTTGGGTTGATAGGAGTAGCTAACCTAGATTTCCATGTTGGATTGCGTTGTTGATCCTAATGACATGACCACTCGATTTAGGATTCTCAATTATTAATTTGTTTGAATTGTGATTCTACTAGTTTATCACTGATAGTGGAGACCTAGTTTGGCAATTAGATGATAGCCTTTTGAGCTCTTTGGTTGCATTTGCAATGCTCTTTTGATTCGATTTTCCTTAAATTAGCAATTCTATCATGATTATTTGTGGAACCTAATCCCTAAAGTCTTAGTATTTGATTCTTTCTCGATTTCTTTGCTTGCTAGATTAGTTTAGCTCATACTATATTCATACCTTTGCTTCGAAGTAGCTTAACACGAAACTATAGTGATTGTCTATCCATTCCCTGTGGATCGACTTGGACTTGCCCCTATACTAGGTGTAGGTTTTGTTATAAATTTGGTTGACATAGGTAAGCTAGTCTAACGACCCTAGTTTCCCGTCTTGTCAGCACCACGAAGTAAAATGTGTTATTCATGGTGTCTATTTTATTATTATACTAGGTTAGCCCTGTGCGATGCACGGTTCTAACATAAGAAACGAAATATAGAATCTTTAGCATATATTAAGAGAAGACAACTACTTCCTCCGTTTTTCTAATTACTTCCTGATTAAATATGAAAATAGAATTCCCAAAATTCCATCATTTTCATTTTCATTTTTAATGAAGAAAAATTAATTAAAGTATATTATTATAACAACTACTCATAGATATCATAATACACATAGAACTCCCATAATTTAAAATTCAATTTGAAACCTTATCCAAAAAGGGGAAAATCTAATAATTTCCCATAAATTAAGCAATCAACAAATAATCAAATTACCAGAGCATACTCAATCGACAATCGTACGGTGAAATAAAAAATTTGTGTAACATTTATCAGGTAGTATAAGAAAAAAAAAGATCTAGCTAGAATAAAGAAGAAACCATCTTCTAAAAAAATAAACAAGAAGAAACCATTAAAAATTAAAGAAGGAGAAATAAAATTAGATTAAATTGTAACATACACTTAATTAAAGAAAAAGAAAAAAAATCGACAAACTTCACACACAAAACCCAAATAATCGAAAACCATTATTACATTTTTTATTCTAAAATGACAGCTCAATAAATAATCGAAGAATAATTTTGAAGAAGATAGAAAAAGAGAAGATATATATACTAGCACAAGAGAGATATTAAACAATTTAAAACCTATATTATAAAATAAAGATAAAAATCATAATAAAATAAAACGAAATGAAAAAAAATGCTAAGAATTGAGTAAATGGAGCAGGTTTGAAATACAGAATAAAATTTAAGGATAAGGGAGAATGGATATCTTTGTTGTCCAATAGAAGATGAAACGACTGTGGGAAAGATGGGTGTAAGAAATTATTTATTGCTATGATAGTCAAAATTGTTTCAATTTCCTAAGATAAAATGATAAGTTGTATTCATACTATAGAAGCTTGGAATATAATTCTCAAAGCAAAGTTAAATAGGGTAGCTCAAAAAGAAAAAAAAAAGTTTGACATCATCCATACATTTAGACGGGAAACAAAATTTAATAAGAGAGTGAT